ACGAGGACATCCAGGAACGGTAGTTGTCCGGCACTCTCTTCCTCCGTTGTGAATTGCATGTCAGGGAAGATACCGTTAAGCAGGTTTGGAAGTTTGCTAGCCTGCTCTCTGACGATGGCTCCTCGTGTCGAGCCAAAAGCTCAGAATAAAAAGATCGTTTCAGAGATCGCGTCTTCCTCTTCTTTACACAGGACTGTCTGGACGCACGCTTGATTCGCGCATACACGAACGTAAGCTGACTGTAAGACGGGGTGACGCAAGAGGCTGCCACAACTACAAGACAGGTCACGAGTTTAACTTCGCAGCCGCGAAGATAATCGCTCACGCCAGTAGCAAAACAGGCCGAGAATTGATTTAAGCCTGGGCCTCAGATGGAAACTCAGTCAGGCACCGGTATACAGAGCTCTGCACGGTCACCTCCGGACTGACGCCACTAGTGGTTGATTAGTCAGTGCCCCTACAACTGTTGTTTATCTTTTTGTAGAAGCTTTTACCTCTGACGATGGACTCCATTAACAGTTCGAAGAGATGGAGGTGAGGTGACTTAGGAGTTTTGAGTACGGGCGGGTACCCAACAACCGCACGGATTGTTTGTTCGAGGTTGTCTCCTCTAGCGCTTTGGCTCAATAGCCTAACCATAAGGCAAGCGAACTTATTTGATGGCGGTTCACGCTCGCCATGTCACAGCGCTGTCGTCAGGCTTTGCGAAACTTTATAGTCTTTTAGCTTGTAAGGCCTCAGCCCGCCGCGCCCTGGTAGCACTGCCGCTTCTGGTACGCGACTGCTTATTCGTCAGACCCGAGAGTCCGCTTATTTCACAGCTAATCTTCACTGAAGGTCGTTCCACTATACGCCACCTGTGGACGCGCTGGGTAGCCAGCAGCTGGGCTCAGACAAATAAAACCACAATTCTGTTAATCAATATGCCTACTTCTTTACCTATACAGAACAGTTTTTTATTTTGTGCTGCCACAAATTAACATGAAATTCGACAACAAAATTTTGATTTCAAACGCGTACCTTTGTGTTACAATAGGAAACAGTAAAGCCGTACTTTCCCACAGTAAATGCGTATGTATATAGAGGAAGATAAAAGTCTGTCGACAGAATATGATTAACGACAACCTACCATCGACTTTGGAGGTTAAGTCGACAAACAGCCTCTCAACTTAGCCCGTTAGGAGTGGCGGCACAGAGTATCAACGACGTACATCTGGAGAGTAGTATTGACTACCATAGCTAAGAAGGCAGCCGCACCGGTTTAAAAAACTGGCTTGCTTTTGTAAGAACAGTCGTTTAGCTAAAATCTAGAGGAGAATGGCAGTTCGATCATGGGAAGTGACGAGGTCCACCGTGGAGTAAGACCCACGAGGAAGCATTTCAGCCAGACTCATCAACCGTCGGCTCCTCCGCTACACTCGCCCCAAGGACAGAGCTAAGTTTAAATGTAATAAGTGCTACGATACAGGTAAGGACTCTGGTTACCCTGAACTGAAGCCTTCGCTGATTTTTAGGATTTGGAAAATAAGGAGACCAAACTGGTGGGGTCGTGCTCATGAACGCGTACGTCACTAGGAATAATAATAATAATCGATTGAACTAACTCGTTAAGGTTTCAGGCAAGTGGCCAGATGGTAATCTAGTGAGCTAGGTCCGAACTTCTAGTCAAATCCTTTCACAAAGGCCGACGGGTCAACTTCACAAAAATCACATCCACGTAGTGTTGCGTTTTCACTTTGTCTATTTGCTGAAGATAATTCGTCATAAGGACGGCTTTCAAACAGGTAATGCCGGCTAAATGCACTCATGCCCGCGAGAACTTTACAGTATTATCTACCATTCATAGAGACATAAAATTACCTTCAGCACCGGTAGACTGCGTCGGGTCTGCTGTTTTAGGTGATTCCAGGGAATGTGAATGTCCTTCCATCGAGGATGGAAAGGAGAAGACTCCAAAACCGACAGGAGTAGCTGGCGAATTTTTATGTGATTTGACTGAAGTTTCTAAGTCAGCAGTAGCAGCAGGCATGGGACCGGCAACATTGATAGAAATATGCACAGGGCCTCGGAAAGGCCGATCACCGTTACTGAAAATAGCCCCGGGACTCGTCGGGGTGATAGTTTCAGCCGGCTCTAACCGTGCTGACTGCAGTTCACGAGCCAGAGGTCGCAGTTCACGGCCCCTAGCATCCAAACGTTTTTCCTTCCGCACAATAAGACCCTTGGACAGTTTCATGCGCGGACGATGTTGCAGAGGTCCAGGTAGGCCTGCATTAGTGGCCGAACGCACCCTCCTTTGCTCACCATCTAAGTCAAAATAAAAATAATGATGATACACAGAGTACCGGACTCCAGCTCGCTTTCGGGGCCACTCGAAACGTCCATCTCTTCTTGGTCTTCTGCTAATGTCTGGTCTCTATCAACTGTTACAAGCGCATGAGTTTCGTGGGATCGGGGGATAGTTTTCTCATCCAATACCATTAAGGAACCAGGAAATTCAGCCGGTTCACAGAATGGAGGTGGGAAGTTAAATCGGTTCATCAAATGGAGAACCTGCAGAAACAGATAAGGTGCAATCAGTAATGGAGCACCAATATATAAAAGTGCGCTCAGTCCATTATGGATTTATAGTAAAGAGCAAATTAAATTGTAAAAACAGAGAAGCAAATAATCACAACAAATTTAACTTGAAAATCTTAGGGCGGAACCTTGGAAGACTACGTTTTTACGAGGTTCTTAGCTATAAAGGACACACCTTTTTCAATGAACAATATGTACTAGGGGACCAATAAAAATATTTCGCTTTCGAAAAGATAGGAGTTCAAAAGAAGACTACAGGAGAAGAAGAGTACAAATGTCAGAATTCCCCAGTTATATCAAAATGAGCGATAGCTAATCTCTTAATTTTACCACAACCGTTCATGCTGAATGCACGAGGGGCACTTACCTCGACCTAATTCGTCGTGCTAACACAAATAATTAAGTTAAGGAAACTAATGGAGTCGAAAACACGAAGACAATGAATAAATTCATAATCAAGTACTATTAGTAAATTGTGGTCAAGAAGGATACAAAGTGATCGCCGGACTTGGGTTTGCCAACGAAGATGATTCGGGTTGGCGAAATCCGACCCCTGAATGAAGTAATTTTAAGCAAAGACAGTAAGACGGAATCAGCGGATAAAACGGATGCTAAAAGATGGAACGTTTAAGGCTGAAATTACAGAAAAAAACTTAAAAAATGAAGACTACTTTTTTTTATCAATCGAGGTGTAGCAATATAGGATTTTATTGCACTAACATTTGGTTTAGTCAAGACAGACAGCAAATTTTTGCAATGAGCAAGCAAAATGGGCACTAGGGTACGGTAGGAGCTAAACAATAAACCCAGAATGTGCTTCGAATTTTCCTTTAAAGGCGTAGCTCACTAAGCAGGATCTCAAGACTTGAGTTCAAAACGCTAACCAGAGTGAATTTTCTTTATGACATATTGCTTAGGATTAAAAACCTTCCGCTAGGCGGGAATCAATTACAGGTCAGTCGTCTTTAACCGCACATGCATTAGCTAGTCAGTGAATGACAAACTCCCACGTAGTAGTATAGTCTAACGCTGGTGTGCGTACAACCATTCATCGCATAGGCTAACAAAATATTTTTTTACAGTGAAATTATGGATATTTTACGAAAACTGCAAGTTTTCACAACATGCTAGGGCATAAACAGAAATTTGGCATATATGACTATATGCATCAGGAGGAAAAAATAGGTCAATAGCTATTGACTAGTCAAAGGAAGTAACCTGGACATAGTCAGCTATATGGTTTCAGGCCCACACAAATAAAATGCTGTTAAATCATACCTGAATATAGAAGCTTGGGACTGCCTTCATGCAACGAACAATGTTTGTTAGAATGTCCATAGACGCTTTTGGATACGAATAATACGAATCTTTCCAGGCGTGCTTTGGAAGCCAACGAGGAGAGATAGACAACAATTGATTAATCCACTCATCTTGACTGAAATCTGAGCTTATATGCTGGGACTCCCTCGTGTTTTGTGGAGAGGCCTCCACTTCCGTAAAGCTAAAAAACTTAGAAAAAAAGTCGGGACAGACCATGAACGAACACGGGCAAATTCGACAGATATTCGTGTGCCGAGAAGGTTAAACTGATGTAATGATTTAACGACTTTCCAACAGTCATTAGACGAGTTAAATTCTGCGAAAGCTCTGCGCTGAAACAGTATGTAAAAGTGGCTACAGTTACTGATTTCAGCCGGCCATTCGGGGGAAGAACTTCAGTGTTTATTGCCCCCAGCCTTTTGAGAAAGCCGATAATGTCGTCTTCTTCGAGAACAGAGGGCAAGTTTTTGAAAAAGAGGACGCAATCATTACGAAAAGCTTGCTCGCCGAATTTCATCCACGAGCTTTTAGGGTTATTGCAACTCTGATTTATTTCAAAATACCCGGGAAAGGTGTTCAAGGTTGTCAGGCTTCTGCGTTTATGGAGTAGGTATTAGTTTAGTAAAGCTATGGTTAAGTTCAACAAGAATCCACGAACCTGGCATGCTTATGATAAAAAGTGAGGCTCTTGCTCTTGATTAGATGTGCGTGTAAATGTAACTTTTTATCTGTTTACCATGCCAATGGATATTAAAATTAACTAAAGCGGGAGGAGATCGAATAAAAGTAGACCAAAATGCGACGGAAAACGCAATGTATTAGAACTCAAATGCAAGCAAATAGTGGCTTAAATATTTGACAAAATACAAATGACGATGAAAATCAAAATAATATGCAAACATGAAATTATAATAGAAAAGGGAAACATGACCACGAAAATCATTTGGATGCGAAATAGGTAAAAAGGGCAAGAGAATTCTTAAAAGGCTCAATTCTCTATTAATAATAATTAAGCTTGTTTTTTTATAGTTTTTCCTCATTAAGACTGGAAATGGCCGCTCCCACATTGGCTACCTCAGGCGATATTTTGCTCCAATATTAATTGTACAAGTAGCAAGTTCAGTAATTTTAATCAGTAAATTAAGCCAGACGTTTAAGTCCACAAAATGAGTAGTATCACGCGAGATGATGTATATGCACGTAGTTCGGACGAGCAATTTTAGATGACTATCTGTACATAGTAAACGGGTAAGTGATTTGAAGTAGGCAAAATCAACCAGGACTCTCCAACAGTTAATGCACCGGAAATAGCAAAACT